ATTAGAAATCGTAGAAAGCACTTTCAGTTTGTGACTGATAGATCGGAAACCATGATTACTAAGCCCCACCATCCACTTCCCACCTCTCTCTATATTGTATACTATAACTTATTTACTAATACTAATTTCCAACCCCAAAAACAACCCCCCAGGTATCTCGTCTGGTCATCCTGCACGAGGAGGCCGAGGACGGCAACGCGATGCCGGACCTCAGCAGGCCGGTGCAGGTGGTCTCGCTGGCGGTGGCCAACCTGGTGAAGGTGGGCCGCGAGACGATCAACAGCTCCGACGACAAGATCCTGCGCCAGGACATGCCCTCGGCATTGCACCGCGTGGAGGGTGCCTCGCAGCTGCTGGAGGAGGCGTCCGATATGCTCCGCTCCGATCCCTACTCCGGACCGGCGCGCAAGAAGCTAATCGAGGGTAGCCGCGGCATCCTGCAGGGCACCTCCTCGCTGCTGCTCTGCTTCGACGAGAGCGAGGTGCGCAAGATCATCCAGGAGTGCAAGCGGGTGCTCGACTACCTGGCCGTCGCCGAGGTGATCAACACGATGGAGCAGCTGGTGCAGTTCCTCAAGGACCTCTCGCCGTGCCTCAGCAAGGTGCACCGCGAGGTGGGCGGTCGCGAGAAGGAGCTGACCCACCAGGTGCACAGCGAGATCCTCGTCCGCTGCCTGGAGCAGGTCAAGACCCTCGCGCCCATACTCATCTGCAGCATGAAGGTCTACATCCACATCGTGGAGCAGCAGGGCCGCGGAGCCGAGGAGGCGGCCGAGAACAGGAACTATTTGGCCGCCAGGATGAGCGACGAGCTGCAGGAGATCATCCGCGTGCTGCAGCTGACCACCTACGACGAGGACACCAGCGAGCTGGACAACCTCACAGTGCTGAAAAAGCTCTCGAACGCCATCTCCAACAAGATGGAGCTGGCGAACGAGTGGCTCTCGAATCCCTACGCCCTGCGCGGCGGCGTCGGCGAGAAGGCGCTGCGCCAGGTGATCGACAACGCCGCCGAGATCTCGGAGCGCTGCCTGCCCCAGGACTCGTACCCCATCCGCAAGCTGGCCGACGAGGTGACGGCCATGGCGAACACTTTGTGTGAACTCCGGCAGGAGGGCAAGGGTCAGAGTCCCCAGGCGGAGTCACTGGCCCGCGGCATTCGCGATCGCCTGGGCGAACTGCAGTCCCTCGTCCACCAGGCGGTGCTCGGAGTGGACAAGGCCGGCGTCCAGCAGACTGCCCACACCATCCAGGGTCGCCTGGAGCAGGCTGTCAAGTGGCTGCAGCACCCGGAGATCAACGACGGCGGCCTCGGCGAGCGGGCCATCAACCTGATCGTCGAGGAGGGCCGCAAGGTGGCCGAGGGCTGCCCGGGCCACCAGAAGGCCGAGATCCAGCAGCTGTGCGACGAGGTGGAGCGCCTCAAGCGCCAGGCGGCCGGCTCGGGGCCAGCGGCCAAGGTGGCCGCCAAGCAGCTCACCCAGAAGCTCTACGAGCTGAAGGCGGCCATCCAGAATGCGCTGGTCAACCGCATCGTGCAGGACTTCATGGACGTGAGCACGCCGTTGAAGCAATTCACCGAGGCGGTGCTCCAGCCGGAGGGAACGCCCGGCCGCGAGCAGAACTTCAACCAGAAGTCCAACAACCTGCAGGCCTTCAGCGATCGCGCCTCGAAGACCTCGCGAATGGTGGCCGCTGGAGGAGCCTGCGGCAACAAGAAGATCGCCGAGATCCTGCTCTCCTCCGCCGCCCAGGTGGACTCGCTGACCCCGCAGCTCATCAGCGCCGGCCGCATCCGGATGAACTACCCGGGCAGCAAGGCCGCCGACGAGCATCTGCAGAACCTCAAGCAGCAGTACGCCGACACGGTGCTGCGCATGCGCACGCTCTGCGACCAGGCCACCGATCCGGCGGACTTCATCAAGACCTCCGAGGAGCACATGCAGGTGTATGCCAAGCTCTGCGAGGACGCCATCCACGCAAGGCAGCCGCAGAAGATGGTGGACAACACCTCGAACATAGCGCGTCTGATCAATCGGGTGCTTTTGGTGGCCAAGCAGGAGGCGGATAACTCAGAGGATCCGGTGTTCACGGAGCGCCTAAATGCGGCCGCCAATCGGCTGGAGCGATCGCTGCCCGCCATGGTGGGCGATGCCAAGCTGGTGGCCACCAATATAGCGGATCCGGCGGCGGCGGCCGCCTGGAAGAACTCCTTCCAGCGGCTGCTGGGCGATGTACGCGAGGTGAGGGAGGCCATAGCGCCGCCGCAGCCGCCGCCGCTGCCCACCTCCCTGCCGCCGCCCATTCCGGAGCTGAGCGCCCTGCATCTGTCCAACCAGAATGGTGGGTATACTAACTAATTAGGGTATTGGCAGCCCTGTAACCTCTGTGCTTCTTACTTTCCAGCTGAGCGCGCTCCACCGCGCCCACCGCTGCCCAGGGAGGGACTGGCGCCAGTGCGTCCGCCGCCCCCGGAAACGGATGACGAGGACGAGGGCGTCTTCCGCACGATGCCGCATGCCAATCAGCCCATCCTGGTGAGTCCAGAGGTCTAGTCGCCGCTAGAAATCCCTGGTTAATCCCTGTTTTCCTCACTCAGATCGCCGCCCGTGGCCTCCACCAGGAGGTGCGCCAGTGGTCGTCCAAGGACAACGAGATCATCGCCGCCGCCAAGCGCATGGCCATCCTGATGGCCCGACTCAGCGAGCTGGTGCTCTCCGATTCGCGGGGCAGCAAGCGGGAGCTGATCGCCACCGCCAAGAAGATCGCCGAGGCCTCCGAGGACGTGACCCGGCTGGCCAAGGAGCTGGCCCGCCAGTGCACCGATCGCAGGATCCGCACCAATCTGCTGCAGGTCTGCGAGCGCATCCCCACCATCGGCACCCAGCTCAAGATCCTCTCCACGGTCAAGGCCACCATGCTGGGCGCCCAGGGATCCGACGAGGATCGCGAGGCCACCGAGATGCTGGTGGGCAATGCCCAGAACCTCATGCAGAGCGTAAGTTGTCTAGGCTATTGGATAAACTAGTATAAGGAATATAAATGGAAGATATTATATTTTTATTTGTAGAGTATTTAAATATTTTTAAGTCATGTTTCTAGATGCTTGATTGATTTATAAATATTTAAAATCAGTTTATAATCCCCTAAGATTTATAATCCTTGACTAAATCTCTCTTCTTCTGTCTTGACTGTTGGATAAACTAGTACTAGCATTATATTATAAATAGAAGATATTATATTTTTATTTGTAGAGTATTTAAATATTTTTAAGTTATGTTTCTAGATAGTTATTTGCGTTATAAATATTTTCAATTAGTTTATAGTCCCCTTAAATGTATAATCCCTTACTAAATTCCTCTTCTCTTGTCTTGACTATTGGATAAACTAGTATTAGCATTATAAATGGAAGATATTATATTTTTATTTGTAGAGTATTTGAATATTTTTAAGTTATGTTTCTAGATGCTTGTTTGTTTTATAAATATGTTCAATTAGTGTGTAATCTCCTTAGATTTATCATCCCTTACTAAATCCCTCTTCTTAGCATTATGATTATAAATGTAAGACATTATATTTTTATTTGTAGAGTATTTGAATATTTTTAGGGCATGTTTCTAGATGCTTCATTGTTTCATAAATATTTTTAATAAGCTTATGATCCCCTTAGACTTATAATCCTTGACTAAATCCCCCTTCTTCCCTTTCCATCTGCAGGTGAAGGAGACAGTTCGTGCCGCCGAGGGAGCCAGCATCAAGATCCGATCGGATCAGACCAGCAATCGGCTGCAGTGGGTGCGCCGGCAGCCGTGGTACCAGTACTAGATGGTATAGGGGTGCCTTACCATGGGATGCCTTACCATGGGATATTAACAGAGCGAGGGACCCTCGGATCCGCATCCGCCCACCTGCCACGCGCCTTGTGTAACATACAAAGCTAAACACTAATCTTAATGGTTTCTATTTTAAATGTTAATCGCCTAATCTGTTCCATCTAAAATTCAGTTATTTAAGTGCCTGCAACTATTTATTATGTCCCCCCGGAAAAGTACTTGTGCTCATGTCCCCCGCCCGCCCGATTCTGTTCTATATTTTTGTTTTCGATAATTGTAAAATTAATTATTAAGCGTGCAATAAAAAAGAGAAATGAAAAAAAGTAAGGAAATGAAAAGGAAAGCAATATGTACATACAGGCAGTCAGATTTAAGCGAATGCAATGTATATAATAAGTGACCAGAGTTCAAGGAATTTCAAATTTCCAATCGCATCCCCTCCTTTGTATTTGTAGTGTACTAACAGAAGCATTTAAACCATAGAGTCCCGTTTGTTTGAAATGTTTGCAAATGTTCGAAATGTCTAACTCACTAAAACAGCAGGGAAAACAACTGCTGAAAGCCCAAACATGTAACCCAAAAAAGCGATGTGTGTCATGTTCAATACATATATAATTGAAATAAAACTGAATTTCGGGCCTTAATTGCTGGATTGGATTGGTTAAGTTCTTCTACTTGTTTCTACGTTGCGTATACGTAATGCAGAGCGCCCAAAAGCAGGCTATCGTTTTTCCTCTTCAGTAATCCGCTTCGGCACATTGCGTATACGCTAAGTGGGCTCAGAACAAATGGTTGCGTGCTTTTAGGCGCACACCACTAAAGCGCATTACGTATACGTAAGTGGCACTTGTGGCGAACGTTAATTATACGACAGGTGGGCTGTTATAAAATGAAAGATCCATGAAAAATGAAGCTTAAATGAATATACAAATATATTTATTTAAAAATAATTTATGTATAAATATTTACTATGCCCCTTACCACCCCGTGGGCCGTCAGTGGGTTAAGTTCGCTGGCTAATAAAAGGCTTGTGTTTACATATCGACGGCCGCATATCCGCCAGCTGTGCCTGTCCAGCGAGCAGTCGGGAAATCCGAGAGCCGCACTATAATTAGCTGTCCGCTGAAAACTCGCGCGATCAGAGAGTTTCCGCTGCGGCGACGGTCAGTTGCGTTTCGTTAATCGGCGGAATCGAGAGAAAGAGTTGCCCTTTTCCACAGCCGATCGATATGTCCAACGGTGCAGCTGGTGTTCCCGCGAAGAAGGAGGAGGAGGAGCCGCGATCCTCGAAGCAGATGACCATCAGCGCCTCCACGCAGGAGCTGGCCGACCTGATAGACCAGCACCTGGGCGAGCTGCGCCAGAAGGAGCCCTCGTGGCGCGTGGCCGACTCGCCCATTTCCGGCCGCGGCATCTTTGCCACCCGGGACATTGCGCCCGGCGAGGAGCTCTTCCGGGAGCACACGCTGCTGGTGGGTCCGACCGCGCATCGGTCCACCAATCTGCGCACCTGCACCCTCTGCTACCGCCTGATCCCGGGCTCCACGGACCCCGAGGCCCTCTGTCCGGCGGGCTGCGGGCTCCCAGTTTGCTCCGACTGCCGCAGCTCCCAGCGTCACGCCTTGGAGTGCAAGCTCTTCAGAAAGTGGAAGCCGCTGGAGAGCCAGAGGATCGAGCCGCGCGCCCTGCGGATCCTCAGCGTGGTGCGCTGCTTCTTCCTGGACGAAGCGGGCCGCAAGCTGCTCTACGCCATGCAGGCCAACATGGATCGCTACTACATGCAGGAGGTCCAGCGGGCCGCCGACTGCTTCGAGCACTTTCCGCGCGAGCAGGACATGCTGGACTACTTCTACCGCACCATCTGTGCCTTCAACACGAACGCCTTCGAGAGCCGGAGCAGCGTTGGGGGCCACGAGGTGCTGGTGAGGGCCCTCTTCCCGCTGGCGGGTCTCCTCAACCACCAGTGCACCCCGAATGCGGCCCACCACTTCGAGAACGGCGAGACCATCGTGGTCTGCGCCACCGAGCGGATTCCCCAGGGCGCCGAGATCACCATGACCTATGCCAAGCTGCTCTGGTCGACGCTGGCCCGAAAGATATTCCTCGGGATGACCAAGCACTTCATGTGCAGGTGCGTCCGTTGCCAGGATCCCACGGTGAGTTGGCTGATTGTCGATTGGATTGGATTGGATTGGCTTGGATTTGCATGGGCAACTGCATCCCAAATGGGCAATGGGCGAATGGGAGCGCGAGTGTCGCAATCGTTGAGAAGTGCCACCAAAATAGCTTCATCGGTTGGGCCCCAAAGAATGTCAGCCCAGGGGCGTACGCATGGGGGGTATTTTTGGCGCAGTAAGTGGAGATATATGCCAACTATTGAAGATAAAGAGTGTGGAATATCTGGAAATACTTGGGTTAACATAAGTGCTGCAATAAATTTAAGTATTTCCTGCTGAAAATCAACCCCCCTATATAAGACGCCCCTGGATTTAGGCCGCGGCACTGCAAGCACTTAATTAATGCGACGAAGTGAATGATTCTGGCTAGGCAGCTGGCCAAATGCCTCGAGAAACCGAGATGATTAGATGATCCCCAAAATGGGCCACATAGAAGAACGGCCTCCAGTGAGTACTCCTATTATTCCCTAGAAAAGCTCACAGAAGAGTAATCAGGAACCGCATGACACCACACATGTAAATATTCATTTCGTTTCTGAATGACATCTCGTTGGAATGGAACTACTTATTAGATCTGCCCGTAATTTTACCATACCCGTTATCTTTTATTGTCTGTCTGATGCGTTTACGTTTCGGGCAATCTGCCAATATTCTCGAAATGGAGGCGCCACAACTAGTTCAAGTACTCACACCCAACACCACATTCCATTACTCATTTATTCGAATTTCGAATTCGGTCGCTGTCAAAGATCGCATATCACGTCAAAACAGCCTCCTCCCTCCACAGCCTCCCTCGTTTCGATACCCCTTTGACCCAGTCGCACGTCAATCCACCGGCAAGTTGCTTTTCCTCCTTATTTTTCCTCGCTTTGTGTGCCTTTAAATATACGATTTGTGCGCAAATTCTTTAAGATTTAAAGCGGAAAACCTAGAAACCAGCCAGACAATGAGAAATCATTTCAAATTTGTCGAGTATTTCGGTTAGGCTACTCTTTTTTCGGGGAATTAATTTATCATCAATTTATCATACGGCGCAAACGTAGCTTAAGGCTACATCAGATATAGCAAAAATTTTATTTTTCCAAAATCACACGGAAAGTGTTATAGATTTATTGCAAATTTATAAAAAATTAAATTTATAAAAAAATTAAAAATTGACGAAAATTATATTTTTCCAAAATCACACGAAAGTGTTATGGATTTATTGCAAATTTTGTTATCTTTTCAAAACAGTATGCATTTTTGGTGTAGGACCATTTTTGGCCAAGTTACACCAAAAAAACCGAAAGAAAAAATTCCAATTTTTGTCAAAAACTGAAATCTCGAATTTTGCAAAAAAAAACAAGGCAGTTTTTTCGCTAAAACAAAAAAACTACTGATTCAAAGTATGGATTGGCATACCTTTTTGAACTCCTTATTAAATTTCCTTTCGATTGGCATTTAAACCTAGACATTTTATTCGTTTTTAATTTTTCGAAAAAAATCATGGGGTACCCCCTTATAAAAAAATTAAAAATTGACGAAAATTTTATTTTTCCAAAATCACACGGAAAGTGTTATGGATTTATTGCAAATTTTGTTATCTTTTCAAAACAGTATGCATTTTTGGTGTAGGACCATTTTTGGCCAAGTTACACCAAAAAAACCGAAAGAAAAAATTCCAATTTTTGTCAAAAACTGAAATCTCGAATTTTGCAAAAAAAAACAAGGCAGTTTTTTCGCTAAAACAAAAAAACTACTGATTCAAAGTATGGATTGGCATACCTTTTTGAACTCCTTATTAAATTTCCTTTCGATTGGCATTTAAACCTAGACATTTTATTCGTTTTTAATTTTTCGAAAAAAATCATGGGGTACCCCCTTATAAAAAAATTAAAAATTGACGAAAATTTTATTTTTCCAAAATCACACGGAAAGTGTTATGGATTTATTGCAAATTTTGTTATCTTTTCAAAACAGTATGCATTTTTGGTGTAGGACCATTTTTGGCCAAGTGACACCAAAAAAACCGAAAGAAAAAATTTTAATTTTTGTCAAAAACTGAAATCTCGAATTTTGCAAACAAAAAACAAGGCAGTTTTTTCGCTAAAACAAAAAAACTACTGATTTAAAGTATGGATTGTCATACCTTTTTGAACTCCTTATTAAATTTCCTTTCGATTGGCATTTAAACCTAGACATTTTATTCGTTTTTAATTTTTCGAAAAAAATTATGGGGTACCCCCTTATAAAAAAATTAAAAATTGACGAAAATTTTATTTTTCCAAAATCACACGGAAAGTGTTATGGATTTATTGCAAATTTTGTTATCTTTTCAAAACAGTATGCATTTTTGGTGTAGGACCATTTTTGGCCAAGTTACACCAAAAAATCCGAAAGAAAAAATTCCAATTTTTGTCAAAAACTGAAATCTCGAATTTTGCAAAAAAAAACAAGGAAGTTTTTTCGCTAAAACAAAAAAACTACTGATTCAAAGTATGGATTGGCATACCTTTTTGAACTCCTTATTAAATTTCCTTTCGATTGGCATTTAAACCTAGACATTTTATTCGTTTTTAATTTTTCGAAAAAAATCATGGGGTACCCCCTTATAAAAAAATTAAAAATTGACGAAAATTTTATTTTTCCAAAATCACACGGAAAGTGTTATGGATTTATTGCAAATTTTGTTATCTTTTCAAAACAGTATGCATTTTTGGTGTAGGACCATTTTTGGCCAAGTGACACCAAAAAAACCGAAAGAAAAAATTCCAATTTTTGTCAAAAACTGAAATCTGGAATTTGCAAACAAAAAACAAGGCAGTTTTTTCGCTAAAACAAAAAAACTACTGATTTAAAGTATGGATTGTCATACCTTTTTGAACTCCTTATTAAATTTCCTTTCGATTGGCATTTAAACCTAGACATTTTATTCGTTTTTAATTTTTCGAAAAAAATCATGGGGTACCCCCTTATAAAAAAATTAAAAATTGACGAAAATTTTATTTTTCCAAAATCACACGGAAAGTGTTATGGATTTATTGCAAATTTTGTTATCTTTTCAAAACAGTATGCATTTTTGGTGTAGGACCATTTTTGGCCAAGTGACACCAAAAAAACCGAAAGAAAAAATTCCAATTTTTGTCAAAAACTGAAATCTGGAATTTGCAAACAAAAAACAAGGCAGTTTTTTCGCTAAAACAAAAAAACTACTGATTCAAAGTATGGATTGTCATACCTTTTTGAACTCCTTATTAAATTTCCTTTCGATTGGCATTTAAACCTAGACATTTTATTCGTTTTTAATTTTTCGAAAAAAATCATGGGGTACCCCCTTATAAAAAAATTAAAAATTGACGAACATTTTATTTTTCCAAAATCACACGGAAAGTGTTATGGATTTATTGCAAATTTTGTTATCTTTTCAAAACAGTATGCATTTTTGGTGTAGGACCATTTTTGGCCAAGTTACACCAAAAAAACCGAAAGAAAAAATTCCAATTTTTGTCAAAAACTGAAATCTCGAATTTTGCAAAAAAAAACAAGGCAGTTTTTTCGCTAAAACAAAAAAACTACTGATTCAAAGTATGGATTGGCATACCTTTTTGAACTCCTTATTAAATTTCCTTTCGATTGGCATTTAAACCTAGACATTTTATTCGTTTTTAATTTTTCGAAAAAAATCATGGGGTACCCCCTTATAAAAAAATTAAAAATTGACGAAAATTTTATTTTTCCAAAATCACACGGAAAGTGTTATGGATTTATTGCAAATTTTGTTATCTTTTCAAAACAGTATGCATTTTTGGTGTAGGACCATTTTTGGCCAAGTGACACCAAAAAAACCGAAAGAAAAAATTTTAATTTTTGTCAAAAACTGAAATCTCGAATTTTGCAAACAAAAAACAAGGCAGTTTTTTCGCTAAAACAAAAAAAACTACTGATTTAAAGTATGGATTGTCATACCTTTTTGAACTCCTTATTAAATTTCCTTTCGATTGGCATTTAAACCTAGACATTTTATTCGTTTTTAATTTTTCGAAAAAAATCATGGGGTACCCCCTTATAAAAAAATTAAAAATTGACGAAAATTTTATTTTTCCAAAATCACACGGAAAGTGTTATGGATTTATTGCAAATTTTGTTATCTTTTCAAAACAGTATGCATTTTTGGTGTAGGACCATTTTTGGCCAAGTTACACCAAAAAATCCGAAAGAAAAAATTCCAATTTTTGTCAAAAACTGAAATCTCGAATTTTGCAAAAAAAAACAAGGAAGTTTTTTCGCTAAAACAAAAAAAACTACTGATTCAAAGTATGGATTGGCATACCTTTTTGAACTCCTTATTAAATTTCCTTTCGATTGGCATTTAAACCTAGACATTTTATTCGTTTTTAATTTTTCGAAAAAAATCATGGGGTACCCCCTTATAAAAAAATTAAAAATTGACGAAAATTTTATTTTTCCAAAATCACACGGAAAGTGTTATGGATTTATTGCAAATTTTGTTATCTTTTCAAAACAGTATGCATTTTTGGTGTAGGACCATTTTTGGCCAAGTGACACCAAAAAAACCGAAAGAAAAAATTCCAATTTTTGTCAAAAACTGAAATCTGGAATTTGCAAACAAAAAACAAGGCAGTTTTTTCGCTAAAACAAAAAAACTACTGATTTAAAGTATGGATTGTCATACCTTTTTGAACTCCTTATTAAATTTCCTTTCGATTGGCATTTAAACCTAGACATTTTATTCGTTTTTAGTTTTTCGAAAAAAATCATGGGGTACCCCCTTATAAAAAAATTAAAAATTGACGAAAATTTTATTTTTCCAAAATCACACGGAAAGTGTTATGGATTTATTGCAAATTTTGTTATCTTTTCAAAACAGTATGCATTTTTGGTGTAGGACCATTTTTGGCCAAGTGACACCAAAAAAACCGAAAGAAAAAATTCCAATTTTTGTCAAAAACTGAAATCTGGAATTTGCAAACAAAAAACAA